CTTCCAGCAAATATCAGGGTGGTTAAAAAAGGTGGTTTTGAGTCTGTAAAAAAAATGCAGACACAGCACTTCCATGAATACACTGTTGAGAAGGTGGAACAGCGCAAGGAAACACAGCGTTCAAGGTAGACACAGTCTGTTCCTGGCTTTGCAGGGGGGTTGCCGTGTGGCTTTGTTCAGCCAGACTTCTGCTGAGGTTCTCTTCTGCGCACCATGGGATGTGGGAAAGCTGCAACCTGAGCGCGGCCGTCCAGCACCGAGCTGTGCCAACCCTGGCAGTGGGCAGGGCTGAGCACTGCCTTGGGCTTGGGGGAAAGCGGCATCGGGGAAGGCTGAGGAAAGCAGTCCTGTGGTTCCTCAGCCGTGTCCTGTAGGACAAAGCATCACAGAGCGAGAGCACTGAAAACCTTACACAAACAGACCTATGTGTGAGGCTCTGGCGGAACACACCTGGCCCCATCGCCAGCTCCTGGCTGCTCTGTTTGACCGCAGGCTCCCTGGGAACCATGGGCTGGAGGAGGAGGTGAAGTGCTGAGGAGCAGAGCAGGGGAAGAGCATCCCCCTGCCAGCCTCTGGGCTGATACCTAAATGTGATTAAACTGCTGCACTGGGCTGCCCTTGGAATAGTTTGTGTGTGGATCAGGCAGTAGAGGGATCAGGCACAAAATCCAGCCTCCTTGCTGCAGCTGGAAGCTCAACCACAAACATGAACCTGAACCATGTGCCAGGCCAAGTACCGTGGGTATCTGTGAGATGTGACTGACAGCACCTGCCTGCGCCCCAGCAGAAATCATTTTGGGGAGCAAAGCCAGCCAGCTCCTGCTGAGCCAGCCTGACAAACGGACTGTTTCCATCCACTGCCTCGTCCTTCCTTCAACTCCACGTCTCAGCCAAGGATGTTGTGCGGGACAGTGTCAGAGGCTTTGCACAAGTCCAGGTGGGTGATGCGCAGTGATGTGTGTGTGATGAGCAAGAACAAACCCCATCAGCTGTACTGACAGTGCTTTAGGAATTCAAAGCCTCATGCTCCAGACAAAACTCATAATCCACCTGTCAGAATTATAAGCCTAAAGAATGCAGAGGCAGAACAGAGAATCCATAACTGTACTTTTCAAGAAAAAAACCAACTTTATTTTTTAAATTAATATATACCTGAGAAAAATTTTCATTAGAACAACATTCTTAATGGTATTCCTACAGTGCTAGTGAGTTCGATACACATTTATATCACATGTGCAAAGAAGGCATTGGGGTATTCGAAAAATTTAAAAGCTTCATCTTGGAAAAAAAGGAGTTTTATCAGAAGCAAATATAAAATATAAGTACTGCCTGAAATAAAAAAACAATTATACTGGTCCACAAAATGGTTTTACTTTTAGCTTTACGAACATGTATGTAAACAGAACTAGCTGGTGTTTTGAATAATCTGATTACACAACTCAGAGTTAAATATTTTTATTGCTAAGTGCAGCCACTTGTTCTCCTGTTTACTGCAGTCACTTCAAAAGCCAGGCAAGCCAGCAATGTTTCCATGCACACAGAAAAAAAACCTCTGTGCACTAAAAATTACTCGCTTGCTACTAATTTGAAAAACATACACATTTATTTAATAATTAATTCTTTTGATTCAAAGTGTTCCATGACAAGCTAATATGTTATCCATTTACCTTTGCTGCTAAGCTGTATTGCACCAAAAATATTTAAATCTGTTTTGTACAGACCAGGGATAGTGAAGAAACAGTAGTAGCATTATCTGAAAAACATTAATACTCCTTGTAAACTCATTTTAGCAAAACTATTGCTAACTGACCCGCTTATCTTGAAGATGCTTCTTTATCACGAGAACATACAACTCACAAACTGATACAAGCGATGACTTGTATTATCCATCTATCCAGTGAAGTGTATTCTCTATCGTACCATCTCTACATTTCACACTATATATAATGTAAAATATATATTTTATATAAAATTAAGTCAAAAAAATCAGTATGCCAAATAACATGAACTCTTTTACTGAACACAAAGACATCCATTAAATTCTACAGGTTAAAAATTTATACAGCTACAAGACAAGAAGAGCAGCAAGTTTTAAATTTGCACATGCTGTCAAAACAAAACAGAATTCCAACAGTCCCAGCAGAGACCCACTTCAACCCAGGCAAGTTTGCAGAGTTCATACATCCATGTTATAAACATGAGCTATATGCATGCAACCAATACATTTTAACTTCTTAAAGTTCATAAACCTTTTTAAGGCTCTCAAGATCCTCCAAAGAGTACTGATTATTCTGGTTTTCTGAAAGTAAGTCAAACAGTTGCTGAACCTCTTCTTTTTCATTTTTGCTAAGAAGGGCCAGCACCACCTGGAAAAACAGATTATTCTATAATTAGCACAGGGTGATTGAAAAATCAGGGTGTTTGACAGAGTTATAAAATCAGTGTATCATTTCCTTTTAAGACATGACAATTCCCTTGGCGTTTCTGTACAACTTTAATACACATTCAATCTGGGTTCTTACCTTAAATCTTTCTGCTTTGCTCAGGTAGAAAAGGTGCTGATATACAAGGCCAGGATCTTTCCCAACTACGTAATGTTCCAATGACTGGATAAAAATCAAAAAGATTTCTCCTTCGAGTTTGTTACTTAGCAGCACTGGCAATTTTTTTGGATCAGTAACTGTTAAAAGATCTGCACAAGCAGCTTTATCCTTATTGGTGTTCACTGCATTGATCATCTGCCCGAAGTCATAAGCGTTGGATGGTTCAGAAACACGCAGTTTCTCAGAGGTATGCAGCGGCACGCTCTTCTGAACAGCCTCCTTAGGAGTAACATGATCAGTCACCTCTTCTGCTGTAGCAAACTGTGTCTCCTCCTGCTCATCAGAGTCAACCACCTTCACAAAGAAAATGGCAACAGATCATTTTCATGTGGACATATGGAGAACCTGAAGCCATAACAAACTGCATGTGTCTATCAATAATGTCACTACATTAAAGTGACACTACATTTTACTCTTTGTAAAAAAAAAAAAAAAAAGCCACCTATGTTCTTTTATGTCCTAAATCCCTCCAGAATAGTAGCTCTAATTAATCTCTAAAGATTTGGAGTAAAAAGTTTTGGAGTATTGTGTTCTATATTTCAGCCATCCTTAGTATCAAGAGATATATCTTGACTGTCTTTTATATAATTATAGCTTGATTAAAATGGAATAATAATGATAAATCTCAGCTTCTGATCTTCCTTACTTTTCTTTGCAGCCTCGTGCTGTAATAGTAGCTCTAATTAATCTCTAAAGATTTGGAGTAAAAATTTTTGGAGTATTGTGTTCTATATTTCAACCATCCTTATGTCAAGAGATATATCTTGACTGTCTTTTATATAATTATAGCTTGATTAAAATGGAATAATAATGATAAATCTCAGCTTCTGATCTTCCTTACTTTTCTTTGCAGCCTCGTGCTGTAGCAGATGAGACAGGGCAGGCTCTCTAGGGGGGCAAACAGAAATGCTTCCTGCCCCACCCCTGCAAAAGTCACCACTGCCAGTAACGCAGTCAGCTGCTCTGTGAACAATGCGATCACTGCCCAGAGTTCCTCAGAACACTCTCCAGGTCCCTTTGTTTGTCACAACTCAGAACTTAACCAACACTACACCCAGCTTACATAAAATCCCATGAACTCGTGACAATGTGAAGTGTTTCAATGGAACAGACTGTTTCTGTGTTAATAACGGCACTTTCCATTATACCACCGTTTGGAAATGACATTATCAAATCACAGCATCACTGTACAGACGGGTAACTATGTATTTTAACTACTTATTTTAAAATGAAAAGGGAAAAAAAAATTCTTAAAGGACCAGCAAAGCTACAATCCAAAAAATATCAGATGACTGAGAAAATCCTTTCATCGCCTAATTCTAGCGAGAACTCTGCACGGCTAACATTTTGATCCAGTACATAACACTACATCACGTATCTCTTTTATAAGATCCTACAGATATTTTACACATACTCTTGCTCTTTAAGGCAGGATTTCATTCTCCAGACCCGTAACTTTCCTACCAGCACAAGAACAGCCAGCACGCCTGCTGACACGGAACCTTTGCCAGCACAGCCCCACGGGCTTCCTGAGAGCACAGACCTTAAAAGCAGAACTGCTATTTGACAGGTATTTCAAAGTCTAAGCAGTTTTTGTTTACAAGGAGGATATCCTCAAGTTTAGTGCCATCTAAATATACTTTTTTCCGTTTCTGCAGTGCTTTCAAATCCATTTTGAAGCAGTCCAAGCTTTACTATAGAATGTAATGAACACTGAACACATCATATGCAAGAATCCTCCAAAATGCCCTCAAAATAATACAACCCCATCCCCAAAAAGTGTACAGCTAAGAAAGTGCAAAACAAAAAAAAAGCTTTAATATTATATCTTCAAATGTGTGCTTCTGTACTGCCTGCTGTTAAAAATCACCAGATATACCTCTTGTATGGTTATTTTCTTCCTTTGCTTTTGTTGACCGTCAGCTACAGCACTGCTGGCAAGGTTCAGCAGTCGGGGAACCTCC